GGGGTTTTACGAGCTGGTATTTACTGACGGGGCCGACCGCCAAGCTCCCGGCGCTGGATTTGAAAGTCAGGAGGGGAGGACTTAAGAATAGCAGTACGGGCTCTGTCATCTGAATAGACGGCTGGAGGCTTATCCTGAGATCCTGTTCTGAAGGCAGCGGCTTCCAGTGTCAGCGAAGAACACGGCCTGCGGAAGGGGGGCAGGAGTGGAGATGCTCCTCAGGCGTCATGACCCCGCCCCAGCTCATCAGTGCAAAAGTGTCTGTCCCAGGGCCTCCCATGAGACTGAGACGGAGCAGGATCCCAGAGACGGGAGCGGCGCCCGGAGCGGGGCTGGGGAGAGGGCAGAGGCAGGTGCGAGTTTACGAGGTCCATGGCCCTGGGCTCCAGCTGTGCCTGCCCTGAGCCGAGATCCCCTAACTTCCCACGTGGCTGAGTTGTCCTGGCACAGCAGCACCAGAGGACCAGGCTGTGGTCGGCACAAGGAGAGCAAGCGGGCCCCTGGTGTCAGGATGCGTTTCCCTCGAGTGTCGGGGACCAGGAGGAAGCCTGTGGTCGCAGCTTCCACGGCCGCGTGGCGCATGGCAGAGGCCTGGCCCGCTGGGGGTGTGCAGTGTCCGACCATTTCACCTGGAGTGCCCTGCTGCCAGCTCCCCACAGAGGATGCCGCCATGGGCCTGCAGACTGCGGGGGCACGTCTCTGGGGCCTGCACCTCATGCTCGGCTGCCTTCTAGACCCTTCCGAAGACTCTGTCCTTTCAGCCTGCAAGGCGGCCCACACCTCCTTCCCCACACCCTGCCGCAGCTGGCGGGCCTGCTTCTGGGTGAGTGTGACCTAGCCTGACAACACCCGCTCACCAGAAGGTGCCTGTGGGCCCGCGTCCGCCTGTCTTCACTCCCAGCCCGGGCGTTGCCCAGGGCCTGATTGACTTATACTCGGCTCAGCACCCTGGAACTCCTCCTCCAACTTCTGATGGGAAAACACACAAATCCTTCTGGAGATTTAACTTTTCTTCAGCCCAGAAAGTAGGCTGTAGGGCTGCAGTGCCTCTTAATCTCATCCGTTCCCTCTCTGGTTATCACAAGGCTTTGTTGTAAAAGCACAGCCATCCCGGGGTAGGGATGGGGAGTCATCTGTAATGAGGCTGTAAAAACCTGTGCGAACCTGTTGACTGCAATCTGGCGGGGCCCCGAGCGGTGCTGGGTGCTGGTTTAGTGTATGGTTTGCGTCCTATTGACTGAAAAGGGTGACCTTCCTCATGATGCCATTCTCTCAGAGGGTCAAGTCTTTCAGACCCCCAGATCAGTGAAACCTGTGCAGAAATTCAGGCTGAGAAGCGAGCTAAGCCTGGTGGTGTCTAGATCCTGCCTAAGCTTTGACCTTCACTCGTAAACCAGATGCAGGCAGGCTTGGAGGAGGCTTGCGACCTGCCGTGGGCACACCTTTCACAAGGTGCTCCTTTAAACTTGCTGCAGGTTTTTCAAGGACTCTTACCCCGAGATAAGAAGGTTTCATTTCCCAGTTCTGTGGGGTGTTTGTCTCCTGGGTGGACCTGTGCAGGGTTGCTGGTACACTGAAGAATGAGCCTGGGAGAGGTTTAACGCTTAACGTCCAAGAAGTGTCAGCCTCCCGCTCTAAGAGCAGCGCCAAGGGGTGAAGAACGTGACTGGGGTCCAGTGACTGTTATGCGTGAGCAGGCGTGGGGAGTGCTGGGGTGAAAGTGCTCAGGACCAGGGCAGGGACCCACAGGGGAGGCCCCAGAAGTAGGCAGGTCCAAGAGCAGACCTCCAGAGGCGTTGACGAGGGGGAGCGCGGGCCTGAATCCGTGCTTTAGAAGCTCACCTGGCCCAGTACGGAGGAGTGACAAGAGGGACAGCAGGGCTGTCAGCATCAAGACCAGTCAGTCAGGAGTCCTGTGGCTGGTAGCATTTGTTGCATTTCCATCTGAGTTAGTCTTTTCGCACAGGTTTTTGAACTTTTTTCCAGTTATTAGCTTCCAAGACAAGTTTCCGGGAGTGGAATTATTGGAATAAAGGGCATGTGGATTAAAACTCGGATCCCTGTCACTCAGCTGCTTTGCGGAAAAGTTGCTACCAGTGTTCAGCCCCATCCATAGCACGTGAGAGCCAGCTTTCTACACCATAGCAGCCTTCATGCTCTGTAGCTTCCTGTTCCACAGAAACCGTCGACCTTTCTCATTCCGATGAGCGAAGAGCTAGCTGTTCACTGCCCAGGCGTGGGATGGAGCACACGGGGCTCGACGGCAGTTTGATGGGAGGACTCGCAGGGATCTGAGCGGGAGCCGAGGGGGTCACGTCACTGTTACACCCACGCCTGGAACCCCAGCTCAGCCTGCACAACCTCAGGACATGTTGTCCCAGCCCTGTGTGTGCCCCACACTCAGACCACATCCAGACGCGTGTTTACTTCTGATCCGTCACTTCATGAAGGGTGTTCACAAACGGGAGAGGATTCCAAGATGAGCACGACCAGTTCTACCTGCAGACTGGAGGGCAGAACTGGGAGGCGCTGGCTGCAGGAGCCTGAGCTATTCGGTTTCAGGTAGAGGAACTTTGGAGAGACGCAGACCTCGCCTTGAACTATCTGAGGGGCTGCCCTGCAGCAGAGAAGGTAGACTGTCGATGGTTTTAAAACTTGGCCTCGTTGAAATGGAGAGTCCTTGTTGCTGGCAGTATTCAGTCAGAACTGAGTGGCGGCGCAGGGCTGAGAGACTTCTGTGCCACATGGCCGGTTGGACAGCATCTCACACCACTTCCAGTCCTGAGGCTTGTGTGATTTGCTGGTTCGTAGGATACATGGAAATTAGATGAATTAGCCCTTTAAATGAAACCTGGAGGAACAACAGAGGCAGGTCTTCTAAAGGAGAGAAACGGGGTCGTCTCCTCCTTGCCCACCCTCCTCTGTTCCAGTCTCCCCCTCTTCCTCTGCTGCCTGAAAACCACTTCCGTCCTAAATCCCAGGAGCTAGATAATAAAGCATCAATCTCATGACCGTTGGTGTCACATGGAAGAAATGGGGCAGCTTGAAATGAGCTCGTGAACTGCTTGCAGTCGTCAGCTCTGATTCCCAGTGTTCTCACGGTGATCGTGGCCTCGTGTTAATCGCACTAGTCACCTATCGGCTATAGAAAGGGTATTCATTTTTGAAGTTAAATTTTGAGTGATCTCTTGAAATGATGGGTATGGTACTTATTTACATCCCTTAGTATTATCACACTTCCTCAATTCTTAGATGCCTTAAAAAAACATTTTTCTTTTACACTTCTGAGATTGGAATGTGCCATATGATAAATGTTGAAAGAAACTTGCCAGCCATTTTTTTTTCTCCAAACACTGATATTAAGTGATGGTCTCCGTAACTCTCAGCACCTTGAAATAGAGGGGGTGCTTAGAACAAAGCTGTTTGTCTCCCATTAACTCTCTCATGGCTTTAAGGGGCCAAGGAGAATAATAAAGTGTCATAACCTGATAACCTGAGCAAAGAATTGTGTGGACGTGGGCATGACGGTTGTCTGTGGTTCTTTTCCATTTTCTCCCACTAGATCTTTCTGACCCACCACACTGAGTCCCCCTAAGAAAGCAGAGGGTTGGCCTGAGCTGCCTTCCCTGAACCCACTCCTCAAAGGTGAGGCCACATCTCACCTGTTGGTGGATGACTGGGCTGGTGCTCTTTGGACAGGGGTTAGTGTGGTCAGGGGCTGGCCCAGGGACTCATCCACCCTCAAGAATATGTCTGCAGGGTCAGAACCAGGGAAGCCCTAGCTCTCACCTCCACACACTCACAGGAGGAGGACTTGGGCATCCCTGGAGGCAGAGGTGAAGAATCTAGCCTTCTGGTTGAATCATTGGCCTGACAGCATGAACTGTTGCTCCTCATGGTTCATGAGCTTCTCAGCCCTTTCCTCCCAAGCCTGTCTCCGGTAAAGAAAGTGCAGCAAAGAGTGAGCATGAGCTGAACAGAACTTCTTTTTAGAAGTGTGACAGGATCATTTATGAAAACCTTGCTGTTTTTTCCCATTCTGAGAACGTCTCCAGTACGATAATTCCATCAGAGAGTTATTTATAAAGCACCGTGGCTACATTCCCACATCTGGCATAGTTTAACCCTTTTCAGAGATGGTGATGCCAGTGACAACTGTCATTAGGAAAAGTCAACCTCTCATGTCACAGATCGAGGAAATTGAGACTGACTATCTTTTTGTAACGGCATTCTTTCTTTCCTATAGCTCTTGGGACCTGGTTCCTAGAATGTTTGTTTTAGAACTTGATAACGTAAGGTCACTTAGGTCAGGTCACCCATAACACTCTCTCTTTGGAACAGGCATGTGCATACTAATGTAATCCTTCCTTGTATGTATATTCCTGGTCCTGTAGATGTCAGGGTTGGAACAGGTAACTTAACCATTGTCCCAGCCACTCTCATGATCTGTGAGTTCACATAAGACCTGGGCGAGCAAGGGCAGGCTTTCAGGTCGGAAGCACTTCAGACATGTGCTCGGTCAGCACTTCTCACATTTGACCCCAGCATGCTTCCAAAGGCAGAAGAGAGGGCGCATTCTCCTGTTAGACAGTGGGTGGGCTCCGGGGCCACCGAGGGAACTGGTGGTAGTACCTGGGACTCCTTTTGCCTATAGAATTATGTGTCCCAAAATAGTACAGCTTGTCTGGATAAGTGGAGCAGATCATCAGACGGTTTGTTTTCCTCTCTTTGGTGCCAGCGAAGTTCATGAACATCTTCCAACAGAGAGCAAGGCACTGAGCCACTTTTTTGGCCAGCACTTCATTGTGAGAGCTTTAAGAGGGGTTCAAGGAGATTATAAGGTTTTTAAAACCAAGTAACTATATAAATTACACCCCTGTATCTTAACTAAGGGAAACTTTTTTAAGTACCAGTGCCCAAATAGAAGACATTTTAAATAAACCAACCCAGTTTTCTTTCCTAGATCACATTGTCTGTGTGTATGTGTGTGTTCCTTGCAGACACATGAAGATCCATGAGAAGGACCCCAACAGCTCTCCAGCCGCAGCGCCCCCGTCCCCACTGAAGCGCAGGCGGCTGTCCTCCAAGAGGAAACTGAGTCACGATGCAGAGTCAGAGAAGGAAGACCCGGCGCCCGCCAAAAAGGTCCTCCCCGCCCCACCCCGCACAAATGTGCGTGCAGCCCCGGGGCTCCGGGCCGAAATTGCCCCAAGCCTTCAGTTCCTCAGTCTGGGGACTTGACAGACCCCCCACTCCCAGGCTGTTAAGCTGTGTTTCCTCGCGTTGTTCCATAAGGTACCCGGAGAAAGCGCGCCCATCTGTTCTGGCTTTGTGGAGTCCCCGGCCAAGCCACTGATGATGCAGAGAGCTTGTTCTGTTGTTCCGGGCTGTTTTCGTCTCTCCAGCTAGAACAGGGGCTTCCCCAGTGCTGGGGCCTCTCCTGTCATCCCTGCTTTATTCCCAGCGCCTGGCAGATACTAGGCACTCCATGGGCATCAGCCGAATGAAGGGGCTGAGCAGGAAGGGGCGGGTGGGGGGCGTGTTTGGTCACCTGGTCAGAAGTGTCCCTGAGGCCTGCGAGGGAGACGACGTCCTCCTCTCAGGCTCTGGGTTTACCGTCCGCCTCTCTGAAACAGAGCACGCAGGAGGCCCCCTCATGACTCCATGTTTCTCCTTTCCCCTCAGATGGTGGAGGACGGGCAGTTGGGGGACGCGGAGAGGAAGGCTGAGGAAGTATTTCACTGCCCACTGTGTTTCAAGGAGTTCGTGTGCAAGTACGGGCTGGAGACTCACATGGAGACGCACTCGGATAACCCGCTGAGGTAGGAGCGGGGCGGCGTGGAGACGTGCTCAGATACTGGCTGAGGTAGGAGCGGGCCAGGCAGGCCGTGCTGTGTGTGGGGTATGATGCACCTCACTCCTGTCCCTCCAGCCTGTGGCTGAGCCCGTCACAGACTGGGGGCACCGACAAGGCCAGGCGGGCAGCGGCGGCCGCAGAGGCCTCCCCAGGACCCCGAGCTTCCTGCGCTTCGAGCAGGGCCCCGGCCCCCCCACCCCCCCGGTCCCTGCACATGGCATCCGCCTGGCGCCGGACCCTGGGCAGCAGACAGGCTTTCTGCATGGAAGGTGTTGCGGCCCCAGTGCTTGTTAGGTGCACCCTCGTGGGTGGTAAGGGCAGGAGGGCAGGGCAGGTGCTCGTGGGCGTGTGAACTGGGCTGGTGGCACAGGAGCCCAGGAAAGCGTTTGGGGGCAAGGCTGAGTTCCGTCCTGCAGGACACAGCACCTGAATGGAGCCTGTTGCATCTGCAGTGACGGGGGTGGTTTTTCTGATCCTCAGTGATCCCAGGCAGGACGATCGGGTAGTGATGAAGCCTCTGGCAGAATTTGGGGCTGGGCTGGGGGCCTCAGCTCTCCTTCCCCTCCTTCATCCCTGTGTTGTCATCAGGCAGGGAGCCCAGCGATCCTGCTGGGCAGGCCCCTCTTCCGCCAGAAGGGCTACCCTGGGGAGCCCCAGGCCTTGTGAGACTTGAAAGTAGCACGTCCTGAGAGGCCCAGCTGAGGGTTCCCAGTGCAGAGGCCAGGGCGTACATGGCTGCAGCTTTGGGTTTCAGAAGGCAGCTTGGGAGTGCAGAAATGTGAACATCTGTTTGTCTGACTCACCGATCCATGGACCAGATTTCCTTCCTGGGGGCACGTGTTCGGTTGTGTCCAAGGAGTGAAAAGGTCCGAGGCAGCTAAAGACATTTGTGTTCGAGGGAAAAGCCTAATTACCCAGCAGCTTAAAGCCGTGTCAGATTCCATTATCCTTCATCACATTAGCTTGACATTTTTCCATTAGAGAGAAAAAAGAATTTATGGGGAGATTAAAGTCTGAGCAGTTGAAGTGCTAGAAAATGTCTCCAAGTGACTGCCCTGTCCAAGGGAATCGACGAGTGTGACACGTGGGCAAAGCTGGGCGGTCACGTCCCGCCGCTGCTCTCGCAGGCCTGGACCAGCGGCTTTGGAGCCAGAAAGGAGGGCTGGGCCAGCTTTCAGGCTGGATCCTCGGACTCTGAAACCCGCCTCTTCACAGGTGACGTTCTGTCTACCAAGAAGAGCCCTGAGCTCTTCCTTTCGTAGGCCCTGTCATTCCAGGAGAGTCAGGAGCTTGACTTCCTGGTTTCCTAAGCGCCCGCAGCGCCGCAGGTGTGGGCTGGCGGGGGTAGTGACTGCTGACAGTGTCCTCTGGAACCAAGACGCACGTGTGTGGAGCCCACGTTACCAGACTAGCCTCATGTGCTGCGTCGTGGGCAGAGGCAGGCATCACCTCGGCGACCCCAGCCCCTGCTGGTGCCCCTGACCCAGCTCCGCAGGGCGCCTGGTTCACTCACCATGTGTGTCTGCTCCTCCCCGGGTTTTCTTTCACTCCGGGCTTTATTCTGTGATGAGCTCCACCTCAGGAGCTACCCCGTTACTGTCTTCTAGGTGATTCTCTCCAACGGGAGACACCCTGGCTCTCGGGAGAGCTTTCTGGGCAGCTGGAGCCTCACCGCACAGTGGGTGGCCGTGATACAGGGAGATGAGGTGTCCCCCCGTCCGTGCTGGCTGGCCCAGGGCATGGGTGCTCCTGGAGCGGGGCCTCCCGGACGGCCACCTAATCCGGGGCCAGGCCGGGCCTGCTGCTCAGAAAGGATGGGGACGGGAACTGCCCCGGACACTGGTTCAGTGCTCCACGTGATTTGGGACATAGCTCACCCACTGGGACTCCACGGCTGTGACGTTAAACCTCCAGTCCCACCCGTTTCCCTCGCCCACTTGGTGCTGGCCCCATTTGTTTGGGGGGAGGAACCGCAGGAGGCCTGTGGCCGGCGGGCCCCCCCTACAGAACTGTGAGAAGAGGCTGCCCCGTGTCCACCATGGGCCCGCCAGCCGGCCCGGTCTAGTGGGTGGGGCTTGTGTCTGGAAACCAGAGGAGTTAATTACAGAACAGAGTTAATCTCCCTTCTTCCCTCTCTGCTCTGCCCTCCACGCAAGCGCCTGCTCTCAGGATGCCGTGGAGGCAGGCCTGAGCCATCAGGGCCCAGCCGGGCAGTGAACTGTGACAGTAGCTGGTGGGAGAGACTGCTTGTTAACCCAGAGCTAAAATAGGCACCCACTCCATTTGCAAACCCCAAAGGCAGCAGAACCACAGTGGGATGCTACCAGCTTAGACAGAAGTTTATAACTCGAAACAGCTGTTGGCTTTTCTCTCGCGCTCTCCTGCCCTTACCCCCCACCCCCAAAGCTGGCAAGGTGCCCATTGTTCCTTAATAAAAAGCACTAGAAATCCAAACTCATGTAAACACCAAAGCCGTTCTCCCACAGTCCCCTGTGTTTCACAGTAACGAAGTGGGCGCTGGAGCAGAAGGAGGACACGTAGCTGCTGTGGTCTCTGAGTGCTAGGTTCGCTTTTGCCCTGGTGTGACCAGCAGTGACTTGGCCCTGTGTCCAGCCCCCCAGACGAGGAGCAGAGGCTCCTGAAAGCTGGCCCCATGGACTGGAGGTGATAGACAGAGTGTTGAAGGAGCAGGTGGATGCAGCAGGGACATCCCTGTGCGAGGCTGTGCTGGTGTTGGATATCGGGCCTGGTTACAAGAATAGAACAGAGTAGCAGGCTGTCCGCCACCCCGAGGAGAGTCAGAGGGAGGGAAGTCTGGGTCAGCAGCGGCCAGCACGAGCACGAGGGGAGCCGCGAGGGCCACGTTCAGTTTTCTAGGAGCCATGTCCTAAAAAGGAAGAGGAAGTCGTGAAGTGGGTCACGCTTTGCTGATGTATCAATATGTCCAAAATACAGCGTCATACAAAAGCTGTCAGTGATGTGTATTACATTCTCGCTTTCATACAGTCTTCGCCAGTACAGGGGGCATGATTGCAGCCCATCTCGTTGGAACACACACTTTCCAAGCCCCCTGCGCAGTCTACACGCAGGCGCGGGCCTGGGACAGGCCCACCTGCAGCTGGGAGAGCTATTTTTTAATTCCGTTAAAATGTATCCAGCAAATGAAAGAGTGCTTGTTGTGTGCCAGGCCCTCGACCAGACTTAAGAGGAGAGTAGCTACCGTAGAGACAGTGAAAGGGGTTGTGACAGTGCAGCAGGTCATGTGTGGGTGGACGGGGCGGCCGCCCGGGGTGGGCCCCCGCAGTGCGTGTGAGTGTGGATGCTGGTCGTGAGGAAGACGTGACGTCATGCCCTTGGATTCAGGGTTGGAAGGTGGGGCCCCGAGGGGGCTCTGCAGGCGCGCAGCTGCACCAGGGGAGGCGTGGCTGCGGAAGGCGGGGGCGGGGCTGCAGGGGTGGGCGGGGCCAGGACCTGCTGCTGCTGGGCTCTCAGGTGTCCCTGGAGTGGCCGCCACCCTTCACTGCGCCTCTTCTCCCCACACACTCCGTCACCTGCACGGGGACCCTGAGACCGATTCACATGGCGCTGGTCCCACACTTGCTAAATGTCATCCTAAATATAGGAAAAGGGTATCACAGAATACTCTTCAGCATCTCGTATTCAAGATCCCAGGGGGCCAAGGTCCAGCCAGAGGGAGGCAGGTTTGAAACACGCCGGGGGCCGAGGGGAAAGACCCCTCCCCTGACTGGACGGAAGCTGGAGCGCTTGTCAGGGCTTCCCCCGCACTCCGCCCAGGGGCTCCTGTGTGACTCAGGCCCGCGGGGCGATGTGGCCACCATCTGGGGCTCACCCAGATGTTGAGCCGGTCCTTGGACCTGCCCAGCTTCACCCAGCGTTACTTGGGTCGAACAGACCTGCAGGGCGTCAGGACGCCTTATGCAGCCCTGCGGATTCCTGGGTGTGGGGAGGGCAGGCTGCCGCAGGCCAGGGCCCTGTCACAGGGCCCTCACCGTTGCTCCCAGCAACTGGGAGAGATTAGTGCAGCTGTCGGATGTCAGTTCTCTGGCTGGGACTCGAGGGAGGGCAGGGAGGGTGGGCAGGAGGGGAGAGGAATGTCTGAGGCGGGTGGGGCCCCGAGGAGAGGTTGTTTGCACTCAACCCCTTCTCGCCTCTGAAGACTGAACAGGAAAAACGAAACATGAAATCCTTTTAAAAGAGGAATGTCAGTCCCTCGATTAAAACACTATAATGAGCAAGATATTCAGTATCTCAAGGAAATGAGCAGGGTGCTTTCGCAGCAAGGCGTTTCACAGGTTCTGATGACGGGGTGTGGGGAGGACTCCCAGTGCAGCCACTGTGCAGGGCGCCAGGCTCTGAGGATGTGACTCAGGGTGTAGAAAGCCCAGGGGCACCTGCAGGCTCCGTGCTCCCAATGCTGGGCCCTGCAGCAGGGGAGCAGCAAGACAGCCAGCTGCAGTCTGACCTGTGGCCCGCATCTCAGTGACCCTGGGCTCAGCCTCCCCGTCTGGAAGATGGACTTGGGGACCATTTTGAGGATGAAGGGGCAGCCACAGTGCTCAAACTGTAATACTCAGTAAATGTTTACTTCTGATACTACTGTTCAGAACACGTGTTGTTTTTAATATTTTAAACCTCACAACACTTACAGTTATGGGTTCCCATTGCTCCCTGGGAATCCCATTCCAGTGACAGAGAGAAGGCAGCAAATTCCAGGGCTTCTCCAGGATGTTGATGTTTACTTGACCAAGAACAGGAGAGCAACTTGGCCTTTAGTCTTTATCTAATAAAGAGCCACCTGTATCTCCTTTCATTTTTGTAAAGATTAGGTAACTGAATTGCTATCTAGATTTTGTTTTGAGTCCTGCCTCCCAAATGATGTGATCCAACTGTGCGCAACCGCGGGCGGTCAGAAGCTTGAATGAACTTGATGCCTTCAAACTACCA